CTCTTTTCCCTTTTTCCTGGGTTTCATTCAATTATTTTCCTGCCTTTGCCTTTCATTCTCTTTTTCCTGTTTCATTCTCCACAATCCCCTCTTCTTACCCTTCATCTCAGCCAAACTCAGGCAGAGGCCAAGCTGTCACACATTTCATAGCACCCTCCAAAAGACATTTTAATTCAGGCTCTGGCAGTCAGAGGCAAATTCCTGTTGTGGCCTTGTTGTGTTTAATTATGGAGCAGCCCCAGACCTTTCAGCAGGGGCGGCAAAGCACAGGAATTTGTTTCCTGCTGGCTGCTCCCTTCCCTTCCCTGCCTCCAGCAAGATCAGCCAAGGAGTTTTAAACGTGCAGGAGACGTGTTTGTGGTGCAAATAAGGCAGAAAACCTTGTTCTTGTAGCAGCTTTTTGATGGACCTCAGGGAGTGCATCTCCAGCTTCTTCATTCCCGTGGCTTTGCAGGAGGTATTTGCTGGTGGTATTTCAGAGAATCCTGGAATGGTTTGGGTTGAAAGGGACCTTGAAAACCACTCAGTGCCACCCCCTGCCATGGGCAGGGACACCTTCCACTAGCCCAGGTTGCTCCAACCCAGCCTTAGACACTTCCAGGGATGGGGCAGCCACAACTTCTCTGGGAATTCCAGCCCAGCCCCTCACCACCCAATTTCTTCCCAATATTCCATCTTAATCTCCATTTTTCCAGTGTAGGGCCATTCCCCCTTGTCCTGTCCCTCCATCCCTTGTCCCAAGTCCCTCTCCAACTCTTGGAGCCCTCCAGGCCCTGGAAGGAGCTCTCAGGTCTTCTCTGGGAATTCCCAGCCCGTCTCCACCCTCTCAGGGAAGAATCCCTTCCCAAAATCCCATCTCAACCCACTCCCTGGCAGTTGACAGCTATTAAAGTGACAGTCTCCCTAGAGCCTTCTCTTCTCCAGGCTGGACATTTCCAACTCTTCCAGCTTGGTTCCAGAGCAGCCCTTGGATCACCTTCCTTAGCAAATTGAACACACAGCCACTGTAAAAAGGCAGAAATAAGAGCATAAAAAAGCTCCACAACCCTTTTTTTCCCCTAAAAAGGGGGATTTTTTTCAATCCTAAAGAAGCAGAAAGCGATACAAGTCCAATTAAAAGGGAGAAAAAATCTCTGGGAGGTCCCTGTCAGGGGTTAAAATCCATGGACTCTGTGGCGCAGAGTGAATTGTTTCTACCTCTGTTTCACTTTGTAATTCCATCCATCTCCAGAGCTCTGCCCTGGGAGCATCCACAGAGTAATGGATTGTCAGTGCAGGGGTAGATGTTCCCTCCTCAGAGTATAAATCCACAAGATCAACTATTTCATTCCCTAAAAAAATGCAAAATTAGACTTTCAAGAGGCATTTTGCAGCTTGGCATCTTCATCTCCCGCTGCCAGGGATGGTAAATGTTTCTTGGTGTAAAGGGCATCGAATCCACCAAAGTTCCTTTTTGCTTTGCAAGATTAATTTGGGTTTTGTTTGCTTTTTAATATCCCTGTGGCTCCAGGGGCTGCTGTGTTCTCAAGTGGCTGACATGTGCTTAATGGAGTAGAAAAGGGGAATAAAAGGGATTTTTCCATCTGCAGCCCATGACCCCGACAAGAGGCTGCTCTATAAATACCAATTTATGGGAGGAAAAGTCAATAAAAGAGAAATGCTTTGCTTTTTACTTCATTAGCTCTGGGAAAGCCTGAAATGATTCAGTAATTCTGGTGAGCAGGATTCAGCTTTCCAGCCCCCAGACCCGGAGATATTTGCATGGAAAAGGGTTTCCTGGCAGGAAATTTTGCCTGCAAAGCCCCTCCTTGGGCTGCTGGCTCATTTTCTCCATGCTCAGAGCTGAGTCTGTGGGGCCCATGGTGCAGAGGGATGTGCTTCACCCTGCCAGTGCTCCTGAACATCCTTGGGTTGCTCTTTTCCATCCTTATTTTTTGCCCTTGTGAGGCAAAATCCAAAGGGATCCTGCTTTGGCTGGTGAGGAAAATGCCCCTGGAGGAGCTGAGCTGCTTCTGAGTGCTGTGAAAGGGCCCAAAATGCAACTTTCCACCCCAAAACAAGCCACTGATCACACACAGATGAACACACACGTCCCTCAGGGAAAATATCTGT